CAGCCCTCCCCTAAGAACTGACCGCAGCCCTCCCCTAAGAACTGACCACAGCCCTCCCCTAAGAACTGACCACATCTCTCCCCTAAGCACTGACCGCAGCCCTCCCCTAAGCCCTGACCACAGCCCTCCCTCCTGGGCAGACCTGGCTTCCTCCTGTGTCTCCTGTCCTCTGGCCTACGCCCACCTCCCCCCGGGGGTCTCGGCCTCTCTGCAGGACGCCAAGTGCAGGAACAGGGTGGGGGCCTGGCAAGCACTGGGTTCCAGCATTTTCCAGGGAACACTCCCTGAGTTGACTTGTTACCTGGGGCAAGGGGTGGCAATCTGAACACACTTCCTGTTCAATTTTGAGGCTCGCTGTTCTAATTTCAGAGACCTGTGTAATTTCAGAGAGTTTTTTTCCTTCTTGTTTTTTGCTGAAGACAGCAAAGCAATTTCCTCTCTGTGTGGCGTTCCCTTACCTGGGCTTACAGGTGTACGCTGTGTGTAAACCGAGAGAGCGAGAATTGGAAACTGCGCCTGTTCTCAGTTGGACTCGTGGGGTTAGCCGAGGAGAGATCGATTTGGGGTACCAGGAGGGGACACAGTCTCAGCGGGTTCACTCGGGTGGGTGGGCTCTGCCACCAGACCAGGGGTCCACATGGACGGTGACAGACAGCTCATGTTTCAGGACTTATGTGGACAGCACGTCACGTGGGCCCTGAACCAAGTATGTCCCGGAGTGTCCGGCCCTGCTGTGTCCCAGGTGGCTGTGACTGCGCTGACCCAGGTGCACTGTGGGGCGGGTTAGGAGGTCGGGGAGCCCCTCAGAGACTGAGAAGAAGGACGAGTGTGTCAGTCCCACGTGGAGCCATTTCGCGTCCTAGGGGTCAGGACTCAACAGCTGCTGCCATGACTGGAGCCATGAGCCCCAGGGGCCTCCATTGGCCTCTGGGCCTGGAATGGGGGGGCTTAGGTGGCATTTAGACAGAGTTGGAGGCATGGGGACCCGCAGTCAGGGCTCTTGGGGTTGTCGTGGGGTGACACACTGGAAGGAAGGTGTCTTGGTCCCAGAGCATCTGGATGCACGGCTGTTCCGAGGAGAGTCTGAGCTCCACACCTGTGCGTCTCCGGTGCCTCGGGCACCTGCTGCCTCCCCAGGAGCCCCTCATGCCGGGGAGCTGTGCCGTGGGGGTGGGTCAGTGCGCCCAGCCCCTCCCCGGCCACTTTTCAGCCCAGCGCTCCCGCGCTGCCGGCTCTGCCGTGCTCAGGCTCCTTTCTCAGGTGATGTGTCAGGGTTGCTGCCCCCTTCATCCCCCACCAGCGCTGGAGCCTGGGTCACCGGGGCCGCCTCGTCCTCGCCAGGCCGCTTGGTGAGAGTGAAAGATCCAATCAGGAAACACGCGGAGGTCGAGGTGGCTGAAGGCCTTTCCTCACCCCCGCCCGGCCCCATCTGCTACACCTGCCTTTCCTGTTGTTGCTCTGATGTTGTTAGTTGCATCAGTCGGCTGCGACTCACGGGGACCTTGTCAACAACAGAAAGAAGGTGGGTGTCCCAGCTGTTCAAAGCAGCCCTGCGGTCGCAGCGGCGACGGCAATCGGGACGGCGAAGACAGTAACCAACTGCACAACTCTTACAGAGAAGTGGGGCCAGGAGGGTCGCTCTGAGGAGCCGACCCCCACTTCAGTCCCAGGAGTTTATTTTATAGTCAATACAGCAATCAATAAGGCAATTAACAAAACAATGGGCTTTGAATGCGGGCAAGGGAGAAGGAATTCAGGTAAACAAGTCAATCAGTAAAGGGACAATAGGTTTGGGAAAACACATCCGGTCTCGACATGTTGGAGACAAGCATCAACATGCTGTGCAGCATAGAGGCCTGTGGGGGCTGCAGTTGTCAATAGTGCAGCCATGTTTAAATGGCATGTATCCCCACACCCTGCCTCGTGGTAAATGAGCTGACTTGGAGCTGAGTAGACGGCAGCGAGGGCGGAGGAGACATTGGCCGAGACCCATGAGCACCTGGGTGGATCTGCTCCATTTTGGGAGACGCCAATGGAATTAACGAATTTACTGAGCCTGTCATGGGAGTGGAACATTCCACGCCTTTCATTGCTTCATGCAGGGTAAAATAATGGGCCAGGCACCATCTCGTGCTTTGTTTGGTACCGTGATGGACAAGCGTCTCCTCCTCCCAGCTGATTTATGGGGAAAATTGTACACATAAATAAAAAGCAAGCCGATTTCTAAGCAGAGACATTGGAAGACTGTTATCAGGTATCACATTGTCCTTCGATCCTGATATGCATCTCCCAGAAGGAGCCACCTTGGGAGCCTTGCTTACGAACGAAACCCAAACCAAACCCATTGCTGTCGAGTCAGTTCCGACTCATAGTGATCCTACAGGACAGAGTAGAACTGCCCCATAGAGTTTCCAAGGAGTGGCTGGTGGATTCGAACTGCCAGCCTTTTTGGCCTGAGCTCGTAACCATTGGGCCACCAGGGCCCCTTGCTTATGAACAGTGGACAATAAACAGTCAAGTGATTAATTCCCTTTGCTTCTGTGATGTTTGAGGGAGGCTCAGGTCCCGTAGGGGATTCCTGAGGCCCACTGGATGCATGTAAGCCCGAGGTGGGTAGACTTCACGCGCCGCCAGCTCTCTGTCTGAAGACCTTCCCGGGTCGGCCCCAGAGCTCAGTGGGCCTAGCCTAAGGATGCACAAGAAAGTTCAATGTTGCTTTCCCCAACCATGAGGAAGGGGCCACGCAGACTCCTGCCTCCTGTTCCCCTGCACCTGGGTGACCAGCTGGACTGGTTTCCTCTCTCACCAAGCCCATGGGAGGCTGATGGCTCCCCCCATTTCCCCATGAACCGCAGCGCTACGCAGATGACTTCCCTCCTTCCCGACAATGCCCTGACTTGGGTGAAAGACATGCCTGCTCCTGACCCCGATCTTGGAACTTCCTGGCTCCTTCTTCTGGAGACTTGCCGAGAGACTTTGTCCCAGTTCCTTTCTAAACTCAGACCCATAAGGAGTGGCCACTCTTCTCCCCAAGAAGCCGAGCCCACTGTGCAGCCTCTGGGCGGGCGGGCCTCCTGTGTAGGCTATGGGCTGGGCCCACCTGAGCTCCCTCTGCACCTTCATCCTTGGACCACATGTGCGCCTGCCTCTGGGGGTTGTGGCTGATTTTTACGTTTTCTCAAAAGAGTGATTCAGATCTGGAGTCCAGGTGTCAGGTCTCTGGAGGCCACACAGCCTCTGCTCTGCCTCCAGGTGGGACCACCCCTGCCCCAGCTGGGGTGGGGGGAATGTTAAGAGGGAAAGGGGAGAGCTCGGGTACGCTCGGTGCTCGGCGTGACACACATACATCTGGCTGTAGGCTCCCGCCGGTCGCCGACTTGCTTTAAACGTGTCTTTTAAATTACACAAGGAACGTCCTAATCCCCAGCTTATTAAAAACAAATCACATTTAAGGCTCCATTCTGTAGGGTTTGCTTGTTGCAGTTTCTTCTCTGCTAATCACCTTGTAAGGAGTCCCTGGGTGGCACAAATGGTTAAGCGCTCAACCTTACCTGAAAGGTTCGCATTCACCCAGAGGCAGAAAGAAAGGTCTGGTGGTCTATTTGCAAAAAATCAGCCCTTGGAAACCCCATGGAGTGCAGTTCTACTCTGACACACGCTGGGGCACCGTGATTCAGGGTCTGCTCGACAGCCAGTGGTGCCTGGTGTTACTAAGCACAGTCTACCGTTCACACGAGGGCTCACGCCGGGTGTTGTGCAGGCCTGTGCGGTTGCTGTTGTTAGGTGCTGTGGAGGCAGTTCCGACCCACAGCGCCCCACGTACAACGGAACGACACGCTGCCCGGTCCTGCGCCAGCCTCACAATCGTTGCTGTGTTTGAGCCCATTGTGGCAGCCAGTGTGTCAGTCCATCTCATTGAGGATCTGCCTCTTTTTCACTGACCCTCTACTTTACCAAGCATGATGTCCTTCTCCAGGGACTGGTCCCTCCAGATAACATGTCCAAAGTATGTGAGATGAAGTCCTCTGGGTGTGACAAATGTGTACTGTCCCAAGCCCACCCTCATGGTGTCTCTGCCCTGGAAAAGCCCTGTGCTCCACCCTCTCCTCCCTCCCCTGGCCCCTTCAACCCCTGGTCCCTTCACTGCCTCTGCAGCTTTGCCTTTTCTAGAAGGTCCTGGACTTGGAATCACACAGTGCACAGCCTTTCCGGGCTGGCTTCTGCCACTTAGCAGTGCTTGTCCGAGGTTCCTCCACACCTTTTCACGGCCCTCGGCGTTTCGCGGGGAATTTGGAGGGGCATGTCTGGGAGGGCGCCATCACTGTTGCTTTGGGCACTTGTGAGTGCCTGGTGCGGGCACTGGGGAGAAGCGCTGGTGGGGAGAGAAGGTGTGGTGCTCGTTTCTCCTGAGAATGGCGGTGTGATGGGCGGTGTGATGGTAGTGGTATGTGACCCTCAGGCGAGGGAGCAGAAGGTCACCCTTGGGTAGGAGGGCTCCTGTGGGGCAGCATCTATAGGTTGGGATTGCTGGTACTGAGTCCTGGCTGGTGGGCTGGTGTGGGCAGAGGAGGGAGCTGTGTGAGATGGGCCAGATCCTGTGGCCCTCACTGACCGTGATGGGGACTTAAATGAAAAGTCGATGGCGTCGCCTGTCACCACCCCAGGGGTCCTTTACTGAGGGCACCCCCCCCCACTTCTCCAGCCTTTTCACAGAGCATATCCATCTTCTTTCATTCCAGATGCAGAAGCAGTATGCCAAGGCCACCAATGAGAGCAACCGAGTCTTCCGGTACTGTGCCTTCTTGGACTTCAGGTACTGGGGTCTGTAAGGGAGGGGCCAGGCTCCATGGGCAAGGGTGGGGTGTGGGGGAGGGAAGGTATCCACTTCAGCGCTGGTATGGATCACTGAATTCTGGAGCCAGTGTGGCTCCACCATCCATAAATGCTGGGGACACCCAGGACGCCTATGTCCTGGACGCTGTGTCCACCTGTGGTCTTCCCTTCTCCCAGCCCGAGTCCTCGCAACCACTGACCTGTTTTCTGCCCCTATAGTTTTGCCTTTGCAAAAATGTTACGTAAATGGAATCATAGTATATGCAGCCTTTTGAGTCTGGCTTCTTCCATTTAGCACAACATCCATGGTGCAGGTAGCAACAGTTCATTTGTTTTCCTTTTTTAAATTGCTGAGTAGTATTTCAGTGTATGAATGTAGCATAGTTTGTTTATCTGCTCTCCAGTAGAGGAACATTTGGGTTGTTTCCTGTTTTGAGTGGTTATAAGTAAAGCTGAATGTTGGGCCAGCTGACATTCCTGGGATAAATCCCATTTGGTCACAATGTGTTGTCCTTTTTATATATTGTTGGATTTCATTTGCTAGAATTTGCTGGAGATATTTGTGTCTGTGTTCATGGAGGATATTGGTCTGTGGTTTTCTTTTCTTTTTTTTTTTTTTCCTCTGTTTTTGTAATGTCTTTTGTATCAGGGTAGTGTACCTCTGTAAAAGGTACATTTTATAAAGTATTTTGGAATAGCTTGTATAGAATCAATATTACTTTTTCCATAAATATTTGATAGAATTCACTAGTGAAGCTGTCTGAGCCTACAGTTTTCTTTATTGGCAGGTTTTGAAGTACACAGTCAATTCCTTTAATGGATACAGAACTATTTAGGTCATCTATTTCTTTTTAAGAAACCCTGGTGGTGCAGTGGTTAAGAGCTATGGCTGCTAACCAAAAAGGTTGGCAGTTTGAATCCACCAGGCGCTCCTTGAAAACTCTATGGGGCAGTTCTACTCTGTCCTATAGGGTCCCTATGAGTTGGAATCAACTCGACGGCAATGGGTTTTTTTAAATTTCTTTTTAAGGGAGCTTTGGCAATTTGTGTGTGTGTGTGTATGTTTAATGTGCACAATATTTTTTATTTGGACTTTTAAGGACTGCTTCTATTTTTAAATGTTATTTATTTTGTTGTTGTTGAGAATATACACAGCAGAACATATACCAATTCAACAGTTGCTACATGTACAATTCAGTGACATTGATTATAATCTTCGAGTTGTGCAACCATTCTCATCCTCATTTTCTGAGTTGTTCCTCTCCCATTAACATAAGCTCACTGCCCCCTAAGTTTCCTATCTAATCTTTGGAGTTGCTGTTGTCAGTTTGATCCCGCATAGGTAGTTCTTAAAAGAGCATAATGCCCAAGGCAGATATTTTTCACTAGTTCAGCTAAACTATTGTTTAATTTTAAGAAGACTTCAGGGGATATTTGGCAGTTAGTGTTTTTCGAGGAATTTGTCTATTTTATCTAATTTGTTTAATTTATGGGCATAGAGTTGTTTGTAGTATTCCCTTGTTAGCTTCCCCCCCCCCCCATGTCTGTAGGGTCTGTAGTGATGCCCCTCTTTCATGTTTGATAGTTGTAATTTGTGTCTTCTCTCTTTTTCTTGGTCACTCTCACTAGAGGTTTATCAATTTTATTGATTTTTTTCAAAGAAACAACTGTTGGTTTCATTAATTTTTCAAAATTTTGTTTCTGTTTTCAATTTTATTAATTTACCCTCTGTCTTAGTTATCTAGTGCTGCTATAACAGAAATAGCACAAGTGGATGGCTTTAACAAAGAGAAATTTATTCTCTCACAGTCTAGGAGGCTGGAAGTCCAAATTCAGGGTGCCAGCTCCAGGGGAAGGCTTTCTTTCTCTGTCCGCACTGGGGGAAGGTCTTTGTCATCAATCTTCCCCAGTCGAGGAGCTTCTCAGCGCAGGGGCCCCAGGTCCAATGGATGTGCTATTCTGCTGGCTCTTGTTTCTCAGTGGTGTGAGGTCCCCATGTCTCTGCTCACTTCTCTCTTTCATATCTCAAAAGAGATTGACTTAAGACACAACCTAATCTTGTAGATTGAGTCCTCCCTCATTAACATAGCTGCTGCTAATCTCACCTCATTAACATCATAGAGGTAGGAGTTATAACACATAGGAAAATCACATCAGATGACAAAATGGTGGACAGTCACACAATACTGGGAATTATGGACTTCCCAAGTTGACAGATATTTTGGGGAGACACAATTCAATCCATGATACTCTCTTTATCTTTAATTTTCTTCCTTTTGGTTGCTTTGGGTTTGATTTGCTCTTCTTTCTATAATTTCTTGCTAGCTGTTACAACTTACCATCTTGCTAACTATTTTCTAATTTTGCAATCTTTTCTTTGTCTCTTATATGCTTTTGCTGACTTCATTTGGATTTTTGAATTTTTTACGATGCCATTTTGTCTCCAGTATTGTGTTCAAGTTTATACATCCTTTTATTTATTTGTTCATTTTAGGCTTTCTCTAGGATTTACAGTATATATCTTTAATTCATCTGCCTCTACCTTCAAATAACATTCTACCACTTCACATGTAAAGTAAGACGTTACAACAGTGTTTTCACAATTCCTCCTGCCCCTCCTTTGTGCTATTGTTATCATACATTTTACTTTCACAGATGCCGTAAGCGTATACGTTGCTGTTTTTATTTAGACAGTTATCTTCTAGAGCAATTAAACATAAGAAAATAATAATTGTATATTTACTTTCATTTATTCCATTTCCAGCTTTTTTTTTATTTGTATATCACCCATAAAGATTCTGGAGTCCTGTATAACACCAGTTCTGTACAGACTATTCCAAAATGCAATCAAATACCTGTCTGATATCTTATTCCTTTAACCTTTCTTGTGGTGCAGGTCCACTGGCAACAATTCCTCTCAGTCTTTGTCTGACAAAGTCTTTATCCTCCTTCCCTTTTGAAAGATATTTTCACTGGCCTTAGAATTCTGAGTCTTTCTTTTTTTGTCTGAGTTTATACTTTAAGAAATGATAAATTTTCACCTAAAACACAATAAATTTTTTTTTAAAAAAGCAATTATACAGGTAATACATAAATACGTTATTCTTTTAAAAAGGCAAAACACTATAAAAGTGAATGACCCTTTAACCTTGACATCTTATCCTGATCTCCTCCCCTCCCCCAAACAGTCACCACTGTGGGAAGGTTTTGTGTTTTTTCTCAATAATTTATGTATAATTTATATTTATGTTCATAGAAAAATATGGTCTTGTTTTTCCCCCTGTTCCTTACATCATTCCATCACGTTGTTTTTGTGTTTTGCTTATATTGCTACATATTCCTTCTAGTACATGGTATTTATAATATACAGTATCTACAGATAGATGAAGGAGCCCTGATGGCACAACAGGTAAGCACTCGGCTGCTAACTGAAAGGTTGGCAATTCAAACTCACCAGCCTCTCCACAGGAGAAAGACCTGGTGATCTGCTCCCATAAAGATTACAGCCTAGGAAACCCTATGGGGGCAGTTCTCCTCTGTCCTGTAGGGTCACTATGAGTCAGATAAAACCAAACCTGTTGCTGTCGAGTTAATTCCGACTCATAGCAACCCTATAGGACAGAGAACTGCCCCATAGGGTTTCCAAGGAGCGGCTGGTGGATTGGAACTGCCGACCTTTTGGTTAGCAGCTGAGCTGTTAACCACTGCGCTGCCAGGGCTCCACAACATAGACAGATAGTACCCAGCGTATCTGTATGCTGGTATATGGTATTTAGCATATAGTACTTACAGTATTCATATATCACATTTGTAAAATGGTGTGGGGGTGGCATCTGACCTCCTCTAACTTCACAAGGGGGAAGGAGAATCAAGATCAACACCCCAAGGCTGATTCCTATGAGGCCGAGGTCAGACATTCCTCCTCTCTCTGCCATCTTTACCAATTCTGACACCAACCATCCCTCCCGTGGCACTCTCTACTTCTCTGCTAGGTTCAGTAATTCATTGTATTGGCCACACAGAACTCACAAGACAATACAGTAACGGTGTTTATTAGGAAAATAACAGATTACAGTTCAGGTTCAGGAACACTCCGGAATACAGTTCTTCCACCAGGACAGCCTCTTTTCAGCTGTGCTCTCTCAGGCACACTTCTCTCTGGCCCTAGGCCTCTGCCCTGCTCAGGCAAGTGTTACAGAGCTCTTTTAGTCCCTGCCAATAAGTGCCCAGAGGCACCCTACTCCACCAGCAAGCCTCCCGCCCAAAGGCACTCAGCTTCCTCGCTCAGTGGGCCAGGAGTCCACCATGCCGTCTCCCGCCGTTGTTTCTCTGCCACTGCTTCTCAAGCTCACGCTCTCTCTCTGTCTCCTGGTTCCAGGAGCTTCTCAGCACAGGAATCCCGGGTCCAAAGGACACGCTCTCTGCTCCTGGCTGTTCTTCCTTGGTGGTGGTGGGACCCTCTCCTTTCTGCCTCTGGGATGGCTCATTTAAAACCTAGCAGGATGGCAAAACTGACCAATCCCCTTGGTGGGCCATGATTACCCTATTTGCACAGTCCCACCCAATCACTTGGGTGGGAATTACAAGACCATAGTGAGAAAGGCCACACATATTTATATATTATATTTATATTTTATTTACCCATTCCCCCATGGACAGTGAGGTTATTTAGAATGGCCACTAGCGGGGGCCCATCAGCCATATGCCCATGGGCGTGTCGCCTGTGCACGCATTCCAGAGACTCTCCCTGACAGCGGAGTTGCTGGTTTACAGGACACGCACATGTCACTTTTTACTGGATATTGTCCAGTCCCTTCCAATGTGATTGTGCCAGAGCAAGTGGACCAGCCCACTCCCGGCAGGTGCCCTTGCTTCCTGGTGCCAACCCCAGACACAAGCACGCTCTGTAGCCCCTGCCACCAGATTGGCCTCTCCCTGGTGACTGGGGTGGGGGCACCTGCCCTGTGCTCAGGAACCTGTGGGGGGCAGGGAGCCACTGTCTCAGCCCACCGGCCAGGGTAGGGTGCTGCCGGGTTGGGAGCTTCCCGCTGACCATTTTCCGTGTGTCCACAGCTCTGGAAAAGGGGTCTGGTCGAACGAGGGCTGTGCCCTCACGGAGGGGAACCTCAGTTACTCCGTCTGCCGCTGCACTCACCTCACCAACTTCGCCATCCTGATGCAGGTGGTCCCGCTGGAGGTGAGAGGTCGTGGGGCTGCGAATAGGCCAGGCGGGGGGTCGGGAGGGGCCCACCAATGCCCATGGGCTCTAGCCATAGCCGGGCAGACACACGCTGTTGCTGGTGACGGAGACCTTCGTGGCTGAGGGCCATTGTGAGGCTTTACTGCCTGGTGATCCTTTGGCAAGAATACACTTGCTTCGGGTTCCAGGGGTGCAGAGCAGATGTGGCTCCCGGGGGCTCAGTGGCCAGACAAGAGGCGGTGGTGCCAGCCTGTGACACCCTCCCTTGTGCTGTGTGGCTGCGTGGCGGGGCGTGTTCATCCACAGACGGAGGTCCTGGCTGTGACCGTGTGCACGTGTGTCCAGAGCAGGTGTCACTGAAGGTGCCGATCCAGGATGGCGGCTGCAGTGTGTGCCCAGTGACAGGGGTGTGGGGCTGGGCTGGCACGGGCACATGGCTGAGGAACCTCATTTCCAGCCCACCATAACCATGCCAGCTGACAGGAGGGGACTTCCCCAGCCTCCTGTCTCTTCCCCGGGAAATGGGACTGAGGAAGTGGCTGTCTAACCAGGGAGAGGGCTGTCCAGGTTGGGTTTCTGTGCTTCAGAATACTTCATCTTTCTCACCTGCTCGGCTGGCTGCATGGTGGACGTTAGGATTGAAGAGTAATTGCTTCGGTTTAAGGCAAATGTAGTTTATAAAAGAAAAAAGCGCCCTTTAAAAGTGCAGATGCCCTGGGTAGGATGCCACCTGGCTGTGCTCGGTCCTGGGTAGCAACCAGCTGCCAGACCCCCAGAGGAAGATGAATTTGGAAGGTGGGGGCGGGAGGTGCTGCTGGCTCCACCGGTGCCCCATGTTCTGATTGCGAGAAGAGAAGCTGGGGATCTGGGCTTTGTGTGCAATCTCCTGACTTACAGATGTTAGTCATCAATGATGATTCTGAGCCGGGAGAGAGGTCACTGTGTGGTCAGGGTACCATGGGCTAGACCACTCTAATGCCCCATCAGCGCTGCTTGGACTCTTGTCTTGTGAGGACGCAAACCCCATCCGGTGGGTCCTGGGGGAGGGCGGTGTTGGGCCTCCCATCACCTTGACACTGGTCTGCAGTGTTTGTGGGCATTGAGTGCCCATGGTGGAGGGCGGGCGGGAGGGAACAGGCTTGTCCACCAGGTTACAAAACTGGATCACAGAGGCCTTCATGATTACAGATACCTATCCCCAAAGTCTGTCACCACTCAACATAGGTGATGCCAGATTTAGACTGTCTGTGGGTGTCTTCGTGGGAGTAAAATGCTTCTACTCATTGCCAGGGAAGGTTGATTTGAAGATAGTTTAAAATTATCCATGCTAGAAATGAACATTTCCATGAACACTAACAGAATTAAGGCGGGTATCAAGTTGCTGTCAAGCCCGAGGTGGGCTTGGAGATTTACCCACGATATTCTTACATGGTTGTTCGCATCCTGGGCCCACATCCTCCGGGACCTGCCTTCCCGAGTCTTCCCGGTCCTCTGCCCAGGTTCCATCCGCACCTCTCCTCCCCTGCCTTCCCTGCCAGGCCCCTTCTGGGCACCCCGCCCTCCCTCGCACATGGGCTCACCTGGGCAGGGCCTCATCTGGAAGGGGCCTGAGAGAGGTGAGTGGACGGGGTGGGGTTTGGTCCTTGTCCAGGGGAGACCAAGCGGGTGCCTAGCTCTCTGCCTCAACATGGCCTCGGCCATCTGACTGGTCCTGTGAGGCTGTGGGAATCACACATGGGGGCCCAGAATGTCCAGAACGCTGGCGTCTCTACTCCTGCAGCAACATCTCCGCTCCACCAAGCCCTCACAAGAGCCCACCAACAAGCCCACCCAGAGCCACTGCCCTGTCCCACTGGGGCGGTGTGTGCTAGAAGCACTTTGGGTTTTCTTTCTTTCTTTTTTTTTTAAATAATATTTTATTGTGTTTTTGGTGAAGGTTTACACAGCAGTTTAGGTTCGCATTCAACAATTTCTATGCAAGTTGTTCAGTGACATTGGTTATGTTCTTCACAATGCGTGAACATTCTCATTATTTCTGTTCTGGTTGTTCCGTTTCCATTAATCTAGTTTCCCTACCCCCTTACAATCTCATCTGTTTTAAAGTAATTGTTGACCATTTGGTCTCATATAGGTGATTTTTTTTTTTTTATTGTGCTTTAAATGAAGGTTTACGGAGCAAATTAGTTTCTCATTAAACAATACACATATTATTTTGTGACATTGGTTGCCAACCCTGCAACATGTCAACACTCTCTCCTTCTTGACCTTGAGTTCCCAGTTTCCATTTGTCCAGCTTCCCTGTCTGCTGCTACGTTCTCGTCCTTGCCCCTGGGCTGGTGTGCCCGTTTAGTCTCATATAAGTGGTTGACCTACATGTGTTATTGTTTGTTTTATGGGCCTGTCTAATCTTTGCCTGAAGGGTGAACCTCAGGAGTGACTTGAGTACTGAGTTGAAAGGTTGTCCGGGGGCCGTACTCGGAGTTTCTCTAGTCTCTGTCAGACCAGTAAGTCTGGTCTTTTTTTATGAGTTAGAATTTTGTTCTACATTTTTCTCTAGCTCTGTCCGGGACCCTCTGTTGTGATCCCAGTCAGAGCAGTCAGTGGTGGTAGCCAGGCACCATCTAGTTGTGCTGGATTCAGTCTGGTGGAAGCTGTGGTAGTTGTGGTCCATTAATCTTTGGACTAATCTTTCCCTTGTGTCTTTGGTTTTCTTCATTCTCCCTTTCTCCAGACTGGTGGGACCAGTGGAGTATCTTAGATGGCCACTCACAAGCTTTTAAGACCCCAGATACTACTCACCAAGGTAGAATGTGAAACATTTTCTTTATAAACTGTGTTATGCCAATTGAGCTAGATGTTCCCCAAGACCATGGTGTTTGTAGATTGCTTTGGGTAGAATTGACATTTTCACAATGTTAAGTCTAAGTATCCATGAGCATGGTATGTTTTTCCATTTATGTAGGTCTCTTTTGGTTTCTTACAGTAGTGTTTTGTAGTTTTCTTTTACAGGTCTTTTACATCCCTGGTTAGATTTATTCCTAAATAGTTTATTTTTTTAGGGGCTATTATAAATGGTATTGCTTTCCTGATTTCCTTTTCATAGTTCTCTTAACTGGTGTATAGGAATCCAACTGATTTTTGTATGTTTATCTTGTATCCTGCTACTCTGCTGAATCTTTTTATTAGTTCTGGTAGTTTTCTTGTGGAGTCTTTTGGGTTCATACGGGTGATTTTTTAAAGGAGCACAGTCCTTTCTTAAATGGGCTCACTTTTTGCATAAATGCATTATTTAAAAAGAAAATCCACAACAGTGATAGAAATGGAACGATAGAGTCACCAGCTACGCAGTGGAAATACCTGTGATAGAGTTCATTTCACTCTCCTAATATGCGTCTATTTTAGCCCATTTTGCTTTCTCTGAAATTGGGAAGGAACTCAGTATTGCTGGCACACTGTGGGTTAATTGGCAATATTTTTTTTTTCTTGGTTCTTCCTTAGTTTTTCTTTCTCTTAGTAAACTTAAAATAATGATGCATGTTATGATGAATGGTGTCTTACATTCTAAACAGCACAGCATTTCTTGGCAATAATTTTAAAAGTGTCTGCCCCTTATTACTTAAAATCATCTAGTGTTCACAGTGCTTTGCTGCTGCACCATGGGGAACTCCGCCTTGGCTGAGCCTTGTCCCACCTGCTACAGTGCATTGATTGATTGACTGGTTGATTTGTGGCCCAGCAACCTCTTGATATTGACTGTGCACAAGGCACTCTGCTGAGTTTTGGGACGCAGAAATGAGTGCACAGCTGGTCTGCCTGGGCTTGGCTGACAGAGCGCAGGCGTTATAATTTAGTCAAGAGACGGGCGTTTGAGTCAGATCCCAGCTGTTGCGAGTCTGAGAGAGGAGACCTCTTGGTACCCCGAGGGGCCTCGTGCCTGTTCCAGCTCATCCTTTTTTATCTCTCCCTGTTCATGCATGTGTATACGTATGTCCAGCTGTCCACCCATCCTTTCATCCATCCATCTAAATGTTATTCTCTGCAAGTGGAGACTGTTCCCAGGGGTTCCCCCAGCCCTGCAGCCCCATGAGCTGCACAGAGAGTCTGGAGTGAAAGCATTGGGGGCTGCCAGGCTGTGTTAGCGCCTCCCTTTGGCTGAGAGGACTAGAGAAGAGACCCCACTCTCCAAGGTCTCCACCCCGCCTTGCAGCCTCTTCTGCTCCCCAGGCCCCACTGCCCCCCCTGCCCCCCGTGGAGGGAGCCCCCTGCCTGCTGTTTTCTCAAGCCCTCACTGGTCCTAAAACAAACAGGCGGTGGCTGACTGACGGGGTGCTCTGCCAGGACTGCAAAGGGAGGGAGCGTGTGCGGCGTTTCAGGTCACGACTGACGCTTGTTGGAAAGCAGAGGCACCCACGGGGCTGACTTACAGCAGAACTTATAGAACAGCTGGGCAGGAACGTCTGGACGCTCGGGATGGGGGCGAGAAGAGGACAGTGCTGTGGCCGTGGGTCTGAAACAGTGGGTGCCACGGGCGGAGGCTCACTGCAGTCCCCCCCCCCCCCGCGCACATGTCAGCCGCCATCTGTCATCACTGTCGTTCTGCGTTTAGGTGGACAGTACCACGTCTCTCATTCGTGTCTACAGTGGGACCTGACACTTCCACGAGAGGCACGTTGTTATCCACAAGTGGGGATACAACATTTCGGAGAATAGCCCCGCTTCTTTGCTGACTGTGTATGCAAGGCCCCCAACGCCTCCTGGCCCTGTATGAAGTACCTCTCTGGGGCACTTGAGTTTGTGGTCTCTGATTCAAAGGCATCATGTCCTGAAACAAACTCCAGGCTTTTCTGGGCATTTCTAAATCTGGCTGCGGGTAGGGAGGAAGAGCACGGCCGGGACACCCCACGCCTTCCTCGCCCAGGCCGGCCGCTTCTCGGCCATCCCATCATTGCTCTGCTCCCCTCAGGATGCTGATTATGGAACCGCACGTGGCGGTTACCCCGCCGGGCCCCCTAGCGGCCCACCCCAGCCCCTGTAAGCCGGCTCTGTTCCCAGGGGGGCGCAGGGAGGGTGTGGGCGCCGAGACCAAATTACAGCGAAATGCCGGTCTCAGCCGTGCACTGGGCGTGCATGCAGGGCCGTGCCCTCGGGGGCGCTGTGGCGTGGACGCCCTCCGCAGGCAGCAGACTCCTCCCCCGGGTCTCCGCGCCTGGGGGGCACTTCCGACCACGCCCACGTGTGCGGCTGGGTCACGCTGCCGGGTGTGGTCAGCAGTGGTACCCCTCCGTGCCCGGGCCAGTCAGACGGGGGACCCCTCTGCTCCTCAGTTTCTCGTCTGATAAGTGGGCGAGGACCCCACCAGGCGGAGCTGCGGTGGGGTCAGATGAGTGAGTGTGCCCCCGCCCCTAGCAAGTGTTGGGACCCCAGCGTCAGGAATAGAGGGAGTCCTGTCTGGGATGCGCTGGTGGGTGAGCTGCGCTTTGGCTGTGCTTTGTGGCTCTGCAGCCGATTACCTTAGCATATTTATTTGTTTATGCCCCACCCTATTTTTTATTTATTCTTACTTTTCTAAAGATAACTTTATTTAGACAGTATTCTAGCAGTTGCATCTAGAAATTTAAAATTTTCGTCAGAGGAGATAATACTGGGGGAGGAAGCACAGTCCCTCCAGAGGTAACAGGTGGCCCTTCTTGAAGACACTCAGTCACCATTGTCTGAACGTTGTCCTTTACCGGACAGCAAAATAATGTTCATAGTCTCTGAAAACCCTGATGTGTCTTCTCTGTCGTTGGTATGAAGTAGAGATCGCCATTCTCACTTGAACTATGAGGACACGGGAGCTTGGCGAGGTGAACAGTTGTGCCCCACAGCCAGGACGAGGAAGAAGCATTTAGTCGGCATCTTTTTGCCTCTGCAATACTCCAGTGCCTTCCTGTAATCCTCCAGAAATCCACAGGAGGTGGATTCCCGATTTTAACTGGTCTGCAGACAAATGACCCGCCTTGCTTTAAGAGATGTTGAGATGTCAGACAAGGTGCAGGTGGCATCAATGCACGCACAAGGAGGTTCTTCTGAGGCCCGCCATGCCGGCCCGGGGAGTTTCAGCAGCTATCAATGCTGCTAAAGCAGCCTGCTGCTGGGACCAGACTGGGTGCTGGCTGTCACGGCAGGGGTGATGGCATTGACTCTATCTGAGGTCCCGTTCTGCGCACCCTGTACGCATATACACTCATGTAACCCTCCTACTTCCACTGTGAGGTGAGTGCTATCATTGTTTTCCTTTTTACAAATGACTAAAGTGGGGCAGAGATGGTAAGTAACTTGTCTAGGTCACTCAGCTAGGAAGAGGCTGAGCTAGGATTTGAACCGGCGGTCTGGCTCCAGGGCCCAGCCTCCTGATCAGATCCCACACCCCCTTGGTCACTGCGTCTGCTGAATCTAGACAAGATGGTCAGAGGCATGGTGGCGGGAGGGGTGGGAAGGAGTTGAGCTGTGCCTCTGGAGGATGGAAGAACAGCGCCGTCCATGAAGGACGGGTGGGAGTGGACACCTGGACAGGCGGGACTGGACACTGGGACACGTGGGAGGCCCCCTGCTTGGAGTGGGGTGGTCAGGTAGTAGCAGGAGAGGAGACTGGAAGGGTGGAGGGCTGAGTGTTTGCAGAGCGATGTGGGGCATCTCAATGCCTAAAGCCAAGGGCTGGAACCCACGGGTGAGCCTCTGTTGGTACAGCAGCACGGTGTTTGGGGGCAGGAGTCACGACGGACAGTGGCTGCCTGTACTCACTGTGGGGTTAGACCCGCCCCTTCCAGCTCCCCACCAGCCTGGGGCCCGGCACCCCCCCATGCCCTGGCACCCCCTGCCGCTCCCTGCCTCCTCCCCCACTCCAGCCAGGCAGCCCCTCTCCCACCCCACCAGCTGACAAGCTCTGCTCCCGCACAGCTGACACATGGACACCAGGTGGCGCTGTCGTCCATCAGTTACATCGGCTGCTCCCTGTCCGTGATCTGCCTGACCGCAACGCTGGTCACTTTTGCCGTCCTCTCGTGAGTCCCCCTTTGTCCGCAGGAGGGGGGTCCCACAGCCTCTGCAGGTGTTCACACCTCCCCAGCTGTGTGCTGTCAGAGGGCGGTGGACCTGGCCCCGTTTGGGTCTGCGCCCCCGTGCTGTGCCGGGAAGACTGCCCAGCCCCTTTCATGTCAGAGCGGGTGGAGGCAGGGGCGGGGGCCCAGCAGCCTGGAAGGGGGGCTGGATTTGGCACCTGGCTTTGGGGAGCTTCCCTGCACCAGGTCCCCCCAACCCACAAGGGCTTTCTGGCCCTTTGACACACTAGGTGGGAGTTATCACCAGGAGCCCCTTCCTCTCTCCTCAAGGACATCTCTGAGGTGTCAGGGCTGCTGGCCTCTGGGGGTCTGCAGAGGAGAGGATGCTGGGAGGGTGCGGAGGCGTTTCCCGGGAGGACCCCTGGCTGACACCACGTGGGGCATATCACAGCCGATAGACAAAAGCAGGAAGACACCTAGTGCTCACGATTTGGGGACCGAGAGAGGGGAGGAGGGAGTCAGGCAGGTGGCCAGTTCTCCAGGGGGGCTGTGAGCTGGGATGGCCGAAGGAAGCTGCTGTGCCCAGGTCTCTGGTGACGAACAGCAGGTGCGGAGACCCTGAGGCTGGGGTGCATACGCTACAGAAGGACACAGTGTGCTGGGAGGGGCATGGTCAGCTCGTGCAGGGCCGAGCGGGCTGGGAAAGGGCCAGGACCCATGGGAGCAGGGAGCCCATGAGGGTTGGGTATTATAACCCCCTTTTCTTGAAATAAGTGTGGGGGCAGTCACGAGGCAGGGCCAAGCCGGCGCTGGCGGCCTCATGCTCCTCTGCCCACAGCTCTGTCAGCACCATCAGGAACCAGCGCTACCATATCCACGCCAACCTGTCCTTTGCTGTGCTGGTGGCCCAGGTGCTGCTGCTCGTCAGCTTTCAGTTCGAGCCAGGCACGGTGAGTGGACTGCCATCCCCCCACGACCACATGGCACCTCTCCCACCTCCCTGCAGTGGCCCCGAAGGGGGCACCTTCTCCTGCTGGTTTTTCTGACTCAGAATGTAGATCACACCCCAGGTAGCCAGGGCTGTGGGTCTCTCACGAGGAATGGAGAAAATGAGTTCTTTATCCCACCTCGGACAAGGGCCTCTTCCGACCTCTAGTTGCCCCAGGACCAAGTTGGTCAACAAGGGTTAAACCTGTGCCAGGTTGCTCTGGCACAGGTGAGCCACCAGGTCGCCCTGGTACAGGCAAGCCCCAGGATGCCCTGGTACAGGTGAGCCTCTGGGTTGCACCGACGTTGAGCCTGGAGCACCTGCTGGGCCATTTGCACCCCCACCGCTGTGTCAGGCAGCAGCTGAGCCTCACAAAACGCTGTTTTGTAGGTCAAACGGTTGACCAGCGGTGGTTTCACCTGCCCTGCTGCCCCTGGGCCTGGCCCTGAAATCATTCCATCTGCCTCCCATGCTGCTTTTTTAATTGCAGTGAGATTCACAAAGCATAAAATAAATCGTCTTAACGCGAACAATTCCGTGGCATTTAGTGCATTCACAGTGTTGTAGAATCACCACCTCCATCGAGTCCCACAGCTTCCACCAGGTCAGCAGAAACTCTCACCCAGTAAGGGACACGGCTTTCTAAAGAGCAGTACTCTGAAATGGCAGGCTTCTATGCCTACACCCACATGCATTCACACATGTATGTAGATACATGCACACACACAGACACTCACAATGCACACACACAAGCATCCACACGTGTGTGCACACATGCACACTGACACATAGGCACAAATTTACATATTTACTCACAGGCATTCACAGATGTCCACACGTGCACATATGTACACATGCGTACACACACGTCCAAAAAGCATTCATACATGTGCACATATGTGTATACATGCACCCACATACATACACGTGTGCGCACACACACTCCCAGATCTCTGACTGACTTTGTAAAATCACAGCGCTCTGCCAAATGGAAGCAAGTTCCAGAAGCAACTCTGTGCTGATTGGCCAGGCCTGGTCCCCGTGCCTCCCCTGAGCCAATCACCTGGGAAACGTGCAGTGATTGGTTAGCCTGAGTCACTTGCTCCACCCAAATTGCTTAGTCATGGTGGGTGGGTGGGGAGCAGTGATTCCCCAGGAAGAAATGGGGCCATGTGACCGGAAGATCGCCACCAGGAAGTGGATGCTGAGAGGCTAGACACCAGAAGTGCCCAGTGCACAGGCCCAGGGATGTCTCAGCCTCTGTGTCTTTGCTTCCAGACCCCGTGCCGAGTCCTGGCCGTGCTCCTGCACTACTTCTTCCTGAGTGCCTTTGCGTGGATGCTGGTGGAGGGGCTGCATCTCTACAGCATGGTGATCAAGGTCTTCAGCTCAGAGGACAGCAAGCACCTCTACTACTATGGCATAGGATGGGGTAGGTGGGGTGTGCTGTACTTTTTAATGTATTTTGTTTTCGGAACCTCTGAGGCCAGGATGGAAAGGATAACCCCGTTGGCCAACTGATGGCCCAGACCTCACCCCCTCGGGCAACACCTTCCCCCTGAGTCGCTGACTGGGTTTAATTGTGGTGATTTTCCAAAGAACCAACTTTTAGCTTTGTTGATTTTCTCTGTTGTTTTTCTCCTATCCGTTTCATCAATATCTGCCTCTAATCTTTCTAATTTCTTTTCTTCTGCTTGCTTTAGGTTTAGTTTGCGCTTCTTTTTCCAGTGTATGAAGGTGAATGGTAAGGCTACTGATTTGAGATCTTACTTTTTTTAATTTAGGCACTTAGGGCTGTGAATTTCTCTCTCAGCCCTGCTTTAGCTGCATTCCATGTCATAATGTGCTGTGCCTTCCTTTTTATCTCAAAGTATTTTCTATTTTGCCTTTGGATTTTTTCTCTGATCCATTGCTTATTTAGGAGTGTGTTTAATTTCCACATATTTGTGGATTTCCCTAATTTTTTTCTCTTGATTTCTAATTCCATCCCATTATGGTCAGAAAACGTACTTTGTGTGATTTCAGTCGTTTTAAATTTATTGAGACTTGCTTCGTGGCCTAACATGTGGTCTGTTGTGAAAACCACAGCATATTCCGCGCACCCTTGAGAAGAAGGTGTATTCTGGTGTTGTTGAGGGGAGTGTTCTATAGATGTCAGCTAGGACTAGTTGGTGTTTAATGTTTTTGAAGCCTTCTATTCCCTTGCTGTTGTTTTGCCTACTTGTTCTATTGATTTCATGTTATTTAAAGTGGAGTATTGTCGTTTCCAGTCATTATTGTTGTATTATCTGTCTCTTCAATTCTGTCAGTTTTTTCTTCATGTATTTTGGGGCTCTGTTGTTAGGTTCATATATGTTTATAACATCTTTTTCCATGTCCTTACTTTCAACTTATTTATATCTTTGAATATAAGGTACGTCACCATAGACAGTATACAGTTGGATCCTCTTCTTTTTTTTTTTGGAAAAGAAAGTATACTTGTCTGCTGTTGGGTGGAGTGTTCTTTATATGTCTATGAGGTCACGTTGGTGGATGGTGGCATTTAAATCTTCCGTGTCTTTACTGAGCTGCTTTCTGGATGTTCTGTCCTTCACTGAAAGTGCTATGTTGAAGTCTCCTACTATTATTGTGGAGATGTCTATCTCTCTTTTCAATGCTGTTAGAGTTTGTTTTATGTATTTTGGAGCCCTGTTGTTGGGTGCTTAAATATTTGTTATGGTTATGTCCTCTTGGTGTATTGACACTTTAATCATTATATAGTGTCCTTCCTTATCCTTTGTGGTGGATTTTACTTTAAAGTCTCTTTTGTCAGAGATTAACATTGCCACTCCTGCTCTGTTTTGATTGTCGTTTTCTTGATACATTTTTTTCCATCCTTTGAGTTTTAGTTTGTGTCTTTAAGCCTAAGGTGTGTCTCTTGTAGGCAGCATATAGACGGATCGTGTTTTTTTATCCATTCTGCCACTCTCTGTCTCTTTATTGGTACATTTAGTCCGTTTACATTCAGTGTAATTATTGATAGGTATGAGTTTAGTGCTGTCATTTTGATGTCTTTTTTTGTGTGTTGTTGACAGTTTCTTTGTTCCACTTAATTTTCTTTAGGTATTTTTCATCTTTTTCTTTGTTGTTGATTTTGTATTTGCTGAAACTTTATGTTTTTCTTGCTTTTTATTTTGATGTGTAGGATTGTTAGTTTCCTTTGTGGTTACCTTAATATTTACCCCTATTTTCTTAAGTTTAAACCAATCTTTTATTTCTTTATATCTCCTTGACTTCCTCTCCATATGAAAGATCTATGACTACATTTTTTAGTTCCTCTTTTTTGTTTTAATGTTATCATCTTTTACATATTGATGTCTCTTTTTAGCTTTGATTTATTTTTGTGACTTCCCTATCTGGGTTGATATCTGGTTGCTCTGTCCTGTGTTCTATTTTTGGGTTGTTATCTGATGTTATTGATTTTCTAACTGGAGGACTCCCTTTAGTATTTCTTGTAATTTTGGTTTCGTTTTTACAAATTCCCTTAACTTCTGTTTGTCTGGAAATGCCCTAATTTTGCCATCATATTTGAGAGACAGTTTTGCTGGATATATAATTCTTGGCTGGCAATTATTTTCCTTCAAGGCTTTCTATATGTCATCCCATTGGCTTCTTGCCTGCATGATTTCTGCTGAGTAGTCTGAGCTTAGTCTTATTGACTCTTCTTTGTAGATGACTTTTCATTTATCCCTAGCCATTCTTAAAACTCTCTTTATCGTTAGTTTTGGCGAGTTTGATTATAATATGTCTTGGTACCTTTCTTTTGAGATCTACCTTGTGTGGGGTTCAATGAGCATCTTGGACAGATATCTTCTCATTTTTCACGATATCAGGGAAGTTTTCTGCCAACCAATCTTCGATGGTTCTCTCTGTATTTTCTGTTATCCCCCCCTGTTCTGGTACTCCAATCACTCATAGATTATTCCTCTTGATAGAGTCCCACATAATTCTTAGGGTTTCTTCATTTTTTTAAATTCTTTTATCTGATTTTTCCTCAGATAAGTTGGTGTCAAATGCTTTATCTTCACTCTTGCTATTTCTGACTTCCATTGCCTCAGTTCTGCTCCTATGACTTTCTGTTGAGCTGTCTAATTCTGAAATTTTATTGTTAATCTTCTGGATTTCTGATTGCTGTCTCTCTATGGATTCTTGCAGTCTGTTAAGTTTGTCATTGTGCTCTTCTAATATTCATAAGTTCCTCTATTGCTTTGCTGTATGTTCCTTGGCTTGTTCTGCATTTTGCATGATCTCCTTCCTGATACCTTGAAGAGTTCTGTCTATTAATCTTTTGTATTCTACCTCTGGTAATTCCAAGAAGTTCTCTTCCTTCGGAAAATTTCTTGCTTCTTTGTTGTGGTCACTTGCTTAAGTCGTCATGGTCTGCCTCTTTATGTGATTTGATATTGACTGTTGTCCCCGAGCCATCAGTAAGTTATTATATTTATTTATTTTATGTTTGCTTACTGTGTGCTAGCTTCTTGTTTCGTTTTGTTTTGATATGCCCAAATAGGCTGCTCATATGAGCTAGTTTGATTATTGGTACCTTTGAAGCTCTAACATCCTGTCGTCAGGTGGTCAGCTCTATTACTAGGTATGTGAGCCCAGGAGTCTCTTTACTCTTCTTGTATAGATTTAGCTCAGGTGTCCAGGTAGTTGGTCACCAAGTGTGTGGTGAAGGCCCTCACCTACAGTCCTAGACGGGCAGGGGTGATTGGAGTAGGCACAGGTATCTGGCTGCAGTAGGGGGTCACACGCTGAGCAAGGCAGGGGGCTGATGGCTGCCCCTGAGTGTCTGAGAGGAAAGTGTGTCCCTGTTCCCTAGAGTGTGTGGGTGGGTGTGTTTTGCAGCTGGACTATGGGCACCCATTGTTGTTGGCTGTAAAGACTGGGAGGCACCACTTATTCTTGGACCCCTGTTGCAGGTGGCTAGGTGGTGTGGGTGGAGCCACCAGTCCTCAGGCACCTACTGTGAGTAGGTGAGGACCCTGCTTAATGGGCAGAGCGGTATCAGATGTCACGAACCTTCCACACCTCCATGTAGCTGATACAGTGAAGTTAGACTTCAGGCGTATACCCTGTGGTACTGTGCAAATGAGGGCCTTTGCTGTTGAAATGAGCTCAATCAGTTCTATGCAGGGGTGAAAGGCATTCAAAGTCCATGGACCCCTTATGTCTGTGACTAGGCAAAGGAGCTGTGCCTACCCTGAATTCCTGGCTTAGAGGAGCTGGCAGATTATTTTTTCCTGTTTGTTAACTTGTTCCCTTTCCAAGGCTGGGAGAATGGCTTAGGGCACCTGACGGGTCCTACTTCTGGCCCAGGGGATGAGGCAGTCACTGAAGCCGGCTGGGACCCAGGGTAAACCGGGCAGGCAGCAGATAAATGGGAGAGAGAGTCTTACCAAAGAGGATGTTTTTGATCTGCGCGGTAGGTTAAATGTATGTACTTACCTTTTGCCGATTGAGTGCCGCTTTTCACTGGCTCTGGAGGCCTGAGCAGACTCTCTGCCACTTGGTCTCTCCTGATGTGGAAAATGCATCCCAAATGCCACTGCCCGCCTTTAATGCACGCCAGCTGATCCGGCCTTCAGGGCACCGGCTCCAGCTGGGTCAGGTCTGGCAACTCCTCGCTGCTTCTGAACCGTCTCTCCCTTTGCCATCACTCAGTCCGATTCCTCAACTTTGCCTTTGATGTTCAGGGCTCCTAGATTGTCATCTATAATCGATTCACTTGTTTTTTTAGGTCTGTGTTATAAGAGGGATCACCAGAAGCATCTGACTACTCTGCCATCTTGGCCCCACCTCTCTCCTTTCTTTTTTTTCCTTAAATCCAGCTTAACAATCTCTGTTTTTTTATTGGATTGTTTAATCCTTTCACATTGAATATTGTTATTGGTATAATGGGATTTACGTCCACCATTTTACTCTGTTTTTTATATATCTGATGTCTTTTTTTTTTTTTTTTGGAGCCCTAGTTGCACAGCGGTTAAGAGCTTAGCTAATAAGAAAAGGTCAGCAGTTTGAATTCACCAGTTCCTTGGAAACCCTGTGGGGCAGTTCTGCTCTGCCCTATAGGGTCACTATGAGTTGGAGTCAACCCAACAGCAACTGGTTTGGGTGTTTTTGGTTTTGATGTCTTTTTTGTTTCTCTGTTCCTCCTTTGCTTCTTCTGTCTATCTCCCTGCTGCCTGGTGTGTTTGTCGAGTGCTGTTTCTGTCCACCCTGACGAGTGTCAGTGAGCTTCCTGCTGGGTAACTGACACTGCTGTTTGTGCATTTGCCATAAAGCAATCACCCTGGCATCAGGGGCCTGCTGCTTGCTTCTGGTTGTCTCCCAGTTGCTTTGATTTTCACCGTCCTCATTATGCAAAGAGCAGAGAAGCATGTTTGTGTTGTGCTTTGAGCTGGCAAATGCAGCTGACCTGAGGATGGAGCGGATGGAAATTACATACCCCACGGCTTCCCTGGGGAGAACTGGGGCGACTCACCGGGGTCTGAAGAAAGTGCCCTGGGGCCACCACATCCACCCTGCTGTTGGCACCCAGAAAAGTCCCATGAGGTCACTGCTAACATCCAGTGGATACCCACGATCCTGAAGGGGCTCACTGTTCATGTGGTGCTTTTAAACCTCCCACGCCTGTGCCCAGGCCAGGCCCTGAGGCTGGGTGTCCCCTCCAGCCTCCCCTCGGTGAGCCCAGTTCAAGTGTGACCTGCCCCATAAATCCTTCCGTGGCTCCCCAGAGAGGAAGGTTGCTGCTTTCTGTCATTTATGGCTACATTTAGTAAGCATTTATAGGACTGTATGCAGCCAACCACTCTAGTGTATTAATTTCTTTGTGGGTATAGTCGTACAGCCTAGGCATGTGCACCCTCACACACACACACATGCACACACACACAACATGAGCCACAACAAGTCAAGTGAATTGTGTCATAAGTGTTTGTGGGATTTGTTTCTATAGTGAGAGGGACCTCAGGAGTGGAAGCCCCCACTTCATTGACTGTAAAATAGGGGGCATCATACTCCAACCTAACCTAGCCTAGAAATATGTTTATTTGGTCTGCGGAATATTGGACAAAAAATGAATCATTTGTCGATATTTAAAAATTGAGAGATTTTACAAAAAGTTGCCAAGTTCCTTTGGATCATCAGAAGATCTGGGAGCACTGAGGTGATGCTCTCGCTTGACGGCTTTGGCAGGGACTGTGCAGCTTCCTGCAGCAACACGGTCCCTGCAGGAGTTTGAGTTTTTGACCCTTGATTGAAGCTCTCTGCAGATGAAGAGTGCTGGGCTGGGTCCTGGCAGTCCTGCAGCCTCCATCCGTCTTCCCGTCAGTTTTTCCTTAATTAATTTTATTAAGAGCACTTGAACTGCATCCTTCCTTCTGCCCGGTTAGAACTGGCACTGGGCCTGAGTAAAGATGGTGGCAGGCAGCTGCACCCTCTCAGCTCTCAGCTGTTGATTATACCACAGTGAGACCAGTGCTCTGTGAGCCCACGCTGCAGGAAGAGGCCCTTGGAGGAGAGGGGCTCTCCTCCTGGACTCTCACCCCATCCTCAGAACAAAGGCATTTTGGGAAATCCTAGGGACTGCGGCCTGCAGCGGGTGGTGGTGCCAGACCAGCCTCTTCACTGGGGTTTTGTTGAACATCAGGCCCTGTGCTGGGAAGATGGGGCAGGCGGAGGTGAGCAGAGTATGATCTCTGTTCTTAAGGAGAGGAGCTAAGTGCTGACCGTCTGAGCATCCGCACGTCCAGGCAGCACACGGGAATCCCAGCCGCCGTGCTCAGGAGTGGGAGACACGACTCGTATTTTTCTGTAATACGAATGCACAGCTGCATCCACAGCTGGTGCTGTGCCTAGGGAAGAGAACCCCAGGGCATCACACTGGAAACCAGATGCTCGCCCACAGGGGATGGGCGTCACTTCTGCCCACAGCTCCTGTCCAGAAGGAGCCTGCTGGCCCAGCAGCCCCAGGACACCAAGTGTACTCCTCCGGGTGCCCAGAGCCAGCCGTCCAGAAACGTGGCCGGTCATGCTGATGGCTTCCCAGGGGGCAGCAGTGTGTCTCCTGGGGCTGCCATCCCTCACTTCTCTTGGGTCACCTCTATTGGGAACTACTGTTCAGATAGACCAAGTTGAGCAGCCTCGTCCAAGTCAATGGTTTTGACAAAAATTCATATGTGTCCTGGTCCAGTATGTTCGAGTGAATATGCGTGTGTGAGTGTGCATGTGAGTGTGTGTGTCAGTGAGTGTATGTGTCAGTTTGTGTGTATCAGTGTAAGTGTGCGTGTCAGTGTGCGTGTGTGCATGTGTGTGCATGTCAGTGAGTTTGTGTGTCAGTATGTGTGCGTGTCAATGAGTGTACGTCTGTGCATGTCAGTGTGAGTGTGAGTGTGCTTGTGAGTGTGAGTATGCATGTGTGCATGTCTGTATGCATGTGTGTGCATGTGAGTGTGAGTATGCATGCGTGTGTGAGTATGCATGTGTGTGAGTGAGCATGCATGTGTGTGAGTGTGAGTATGCATGTGTGAGTGTGAGTATGCATGTGTGTGTATGCGTGTGTGTATGCGTGTGTGTGTGAGTGTGAGTATGCGTGTGTGTGTGAGTATGCGTGTGTGTGTGCGTATGCATGTGTACATGTGTATGAGATATCTATCTGTTAGAGTCTAACCTCGTGGGGGATAGGAGCGGTTCTGTGTCCGCGGCACTTGGTGCCTCGTTCTCTGTAGGTATCGGGTATAAAATGAATGAGTGAGTGAATGGAAACTGGAGCAAGCTCACACGATGTTCTCTCTGATTCTCTGCAGGTTTTCCTCTTCTCATCTGTATCATTTCAGTGTCGTCTGCCATGTACAGTTATGGAGCAGGTAACAAGTAAGTGCAGGGGCTTGCCCTCGTCGTGAGGAATTCCCACCGCTCAGCTCTTTGTCATGTTCCTCTGGGGTGGGTGCTGTGTGAGACATGGGGCAGATGGAGTGAGGAACAACCCCAGCTGTGCTCTGGGCTTCCTCAGCCTTGAAAGTAGCAGCTAGGGTGTCACATCCCTCCAGGAATGATGGGGTGGCTGGTGGAAGTTTTCTGTTGGACCTTCTTCCCGCATGGGGTCTTCCCAACACAGTTTTGGTCACCTGTGGAGCTCAGGCTTGTGACCCATCGCCCATTCTTGGGTGGTCAGCACCGTGCCTAGTTCACAATAGCTACTTGATAAATTGCAGTCAAGTGACTATATGAACGTACAAATGAGTATGGTCTTCCATGCACCTGGCAGGTGGGTCTTAGGCTTCCCATTGCTTGGGTAGGAGGGGATGGGCCTTTATGTGACCCAGGATCTGGTGCCGCCATTTTGAAACTGCGGCTGGTGGCTCCACCGTTGAACCAGGAAGAGGAAGGGATGGTGCTGTGGAACCAGGTCAGGGTTCCGAGCTCCAGAGAGATTTTATTTTCTGATGAGAAAAGAGGCTTTACCTCAAATGCCTTTGGAAAGTTAACCCCCATCTTCTTCAGGCTGGGGCACCCCTGAGTGAAAACACGAAATGGAAACATCCTCAAGCATGAGGAGGAGGAGAAGGGGAGTTAAGCATTTGTAGAGCCTCAGGACGAGACGTCTCTCCAGCTGGACTGCTGACCGGGGAGAATCCACCCTCTTGCACGTCAGGGCGACAATTTACTGAAGATGTCACGTCAAAGCAGGCATTGTCTGCGTGCACATGGAAGCAGGAATGATTAAAGGACCATCATTCTGGCCCCTTCCGTTCCATGCAGGGTGGATTTAGAAGTTGAGGCGCTCATTAAGGGAAGAGTGTTCCTCTCACGCTCTTCTCAGCACTGTTTGTTCCACTTTCTCCCCGTCGGGGGCTGGTGGATGCCTTCCGCCCACAACACGCATCTCAGCACCAGTGTCGTCCTCGTCCGAGCCCCCCAGTCACGGCCGAGAGCAAGGCAGCCCCGCAGAGCACTGGGGGCCTCATGGGGTTTCTGAAGAGGGGAGGACTCAGGAGATCCTTATCCTTAAAATCCTGCAGGAAGATGTTAGGAAGCGCAAACTTTCTCTGTAGCATCACAGCCTCTCAGAGAGCCTGGGCTTGAGCAGAGGGCAGCCGCGTGGAGCTGCCCTGCATTTCCCTTCACATGGGGCGTCCTCAGATGAGGGGTTCCTTCATTCAGGCGCTGGGTGTGGTGCAGGGCTGAAGAGTGTCCCCATGAATTCCTGTCCTGGAATCTCAGAAAGTCATCTTATTTGAAAACAGAGTCTTTGCAGATGTACGATGAGATCATACTGGATTAGGATGGGCGCTAATCCAGTATGACTAGTCCTTATAAGAAGAGCAGAAGAAGTTGTTGAATTGTTGTATACTTTGTTGTGTATATTTTCATCAAAATAAAATTCTAAAAATGATGCATAAAAAAAAGGAGAAGGGACACACAGAGGACAAAGATGTAAAGATGGAGACAGGGATGGAGTGATCAGAGACACAGAGGAGAAGCCGTGTG